AGAGAGAGAGAGAGAGAGAGAGAGAGAGAGAGAGAGAGAGAGAGAGAGAGAGAGAGAGAGAAACCTAATAATCGCGTCGGCGAATTGCTTGCCGTTGTATCCTACGGCTGTCACGCGAGCCAAGTCAGCGTAATAATTTGATTGATACTCGCACCGCGCGCTCGTTGCATATTCGATCGTGCCGTTGGCCCGAGCCGTTGCGCCCAAATCGCCATTAATGGAATTTGTTTTGCAAATTCGCACACGGCTTTGCATCAGAATGCGGCACACATCCAGCGGGATATTAATCATCCTTCAACTTGGGCCACGTAGTAGTGTTCGAGAAGAGAGAAAAAAGAGAGAAAAAAAAAGAGACAAATAATCGATCGACGAAATGTACCGTTATCATTCGCACGGGGTCTTTCTTTCTTTCTTTCGTTCTCTCTCCCTCTCTCTTTCTCTCTTTTCTTCTCTCTCTTTCCTTCTTTCAGCGACGCGGTGCAATTAAATACCGAAGCGAACTGACTCCGCGTTGACCGCGCGTATAGCGTTGTTGCGCTATCAGTATCCGCCAGTGGGTCAGTCAACAACGGGGTCAGCCGAGGGCGCGTGCGCGCGCGCGCGCGCGAATCCGGACTGCGGGTCAGCCAATCGCGTTCGTTCGCACGGTGCCCGTGTTTCTCGCGCGACAATAAGCATTTTAACCGTATTCGCGTATTATACACGGTCACCCGCGACAGACGAATTCGTATCGGCGCGCTTCCGCAACGACGTGACGTTGCGGATTCGTCCGGGTCAAAGGTGACCGGGATACCCGGCGAGCGTGCAGATCGACGATTAATTTCGAATTAACTTCGCGCCGGCGAGAGAGATCGGCTTGTCCCGCGGCTGCGGCGGTTTCCGCCAAACGAGCGGCCCGAATCTACTCGGCGAGCGTTGACGCAATTAATAAAGCCGACTGTGCGGCCAAGTTACCGTCATTAAGTGTTATCGCAACCGCGCGCAATAAACAACAACGAGCCCGATGGAGCTCGGATTACCGAAAACTTTCTCTTGCTTCCCGGCCGGCGAGGACTTCGGCGTCCACGGTTTTCCATCCTGTCCTTCCACGATGGCGTCATCCTGCAATCAGAGTTATCTCAAACGTTACGCTAACGTCACGACGAGCGCAGTCGGGGCCGACTGCAAAAATTCGCACGGACGGAAACCCGGCCGCGGCCACATTCGCTGGAACAGCGGGATATAGGATTGTAACGGGTGGGGTGAGGGGCGGTAAATAAAGAGTAGGTGGCTCACGGGCAAGACGAGAAACAAGACGGAAGTGGGTCAGCGGGACTATCGGTCGTGAGGGTCCGGGTTCTCGTCTCGTTTCGCGCGCACGTCTGACTCGCCGGAGGTGATGATGCTGACGGGACTGAGTACAGGCTGTTTCAGAATAGATCGGAATCGATTAGTGAGATTACAAGGAACGAGGAAAAAGCGGGAAAGAACAACAGATAGAATGGCAGGAAGTCGATGAGAAAGGGAACAAAATAATCAATGAGAGAAGGAAGAGGTCGATAAAAGAGACGAATGGAGGAACAGATAAGAAGAGAGGTTACAGGGACACGTGTATGTGTGTGTGAATTAGGGCTTCAATATTTTTTCGGAGCTGACACTATCCGGATAGTAAATAAATGTGACGCCTCGAGTTCGGGTTATCCGGGGATTCGCGGATTTTCCAAGACAGCCGAACACAATTCGGATTCAGACCTAAATTCACAGGACAGTCGACTGAATAGACATGTACGCAGCGATTTAGATCTCTTTCGAAAATTTGGCGATCAATTAATCAATATTCTTTAAGGCTTCTCGCCGTAAAACTACCGATTGATGACGTTAAGGGCGAAAAAATGAACGCTAAAAATTTTACAAAATACGTAGATATAAAAAGATATAAAACGTAATCACAAAATGACATTTGCAATCGATTAAGCAGGATAAGATGTGAGATACTTGGATTCGAGTAGCGCGACTTTGCGTTTTCGGATCTCAGAACCGACCTCGGATATCTGGGAGCTCTAACATGAATCCGTAGTCGCGGAAAAGATAACGGTGGATTGTAAAAGTTCCAGGTTCTACGACGAGAAGAGATCTGTGTGTCTCTTTCTCGTCTCTTCCGCTTTCTCCAGCATCTACCCTTGGGACGTGACGAACAAATCCAGCCGAGACGAATACAATGTTACACTTTATTTCTCGTGCGTTTCCGTCGTACATTGTCCCCGACAAAAAAGAGGGGGAGAAGAGCCCAGTCGCAACAGAAACAAAGCCATCTTCTCTATACAAACACCAATTCGCTACTGTACATAATTACTCGCGCGTGCGCGCGTCGCATCACTCGTCGCTTTTCCTTTTTTTTTCTTACTTTTTGCTTCTTTGTTTATTTTTTTTAATCCGCGCTTGAGTGACGTCGCGCGCGCATTTTTGTCTCTCGATTCGCGAGGGAAGGAAAGGGAAAGGACGAAGCAGAGGGGTAGATGGGGGAAGGTGAGGGGCACGCCCTCGTTCGAAAATCGACTGTTAATTCACAACGCCGTCGCGTAGGCACAACTAGATATCATTACATCGTGATGGGGATGGACCATGGAAACGAGATCTTACTCTCGTCCGAAATGACCTCCCTTCTAAGTTTCTTTCTCTTTTCCTTCGTATGCAGTCACTCTTTCTCTCTCGCTGTGCTGTATAATATTTACAAGTAACAATTTTGCAATCTTCGGTCGCTCAGTGTTTCCTTAAGCTCAATCGCGACGATCTCGCTCCCTCGTGCGCGTCGTCGCCTGGTACTTACATGACTAATCGGTTAGTTTACACTCAACATCGATAGACACGTAGTGTGCTGATAAAATTTCTATTTTCCCCCTCGTCAGAGGCCTCAACAATACGAGCGTGCATCTAGGCGAAAAA